TGTGGAAATAGTCTAATTAGTAGATAGTACTTATATACGTACTTATATTCTAAGGACTACTTTTTTGACATTTATACTAACTTACTACAAGGTATTTTTAAGAGAATGGCAAAGGGCTGCTGCACGTCTGGAGAAGAGGGTAGCTAAAACTGAAAAGGTAATTTTATACTACAAAAAAGATTTAAATCCCATCACAGTAGAAATAAAAACAGAATAAAAAAACTTTGGAACAGGATTGGAGAAGAAGGAGAAAACAGAAAATTTTTAATAAAATTTCCATGTAGAAGACTTTAATAAGATTGCCTTGTTAGAGAATACTGAAGGGATAGTAGTGTGAAAATCCTAATTCCTATATTACTTATTATGGTCCTAAGAAACTATGTGTTACTTGTTTGTCAGTAGTTGATAGGTATTGTCAGATCTGTTTAGGTAATTGAATCATATATCAGGGGCTAATAAATAGAAAAAATCTTGTTTAAATCAATTTATATATTCGCCGATATTACGTGGCTAATAGAGCAAAATAAAGGTCTTGTTAGACACTCCTTTGCTGTAATCGTTTGTCGGGAAATTGCTCTATAAACATCTCGAAGTGTTATAAAATATATTGAATATCGAGGATAAGAGATGCATTTCCATTTTGTCGGGAATAGGGTGCCAGTGTGCGCATACGTATATATACGTTATATGGGCTATATACGTATAGGGTTCACATACGAGAAACGGCCGTAGCGGCAACTCAGGTACGGAGGCGATACACAGCCAATATCCGGTATATATAGACTACATTATAGATGAGCCAATACGTGACACGGTATCACACGTTGGAACGAATCGAAGTACTAGCTGGACGAAATTTAAATAGTTATTTAACCGGTACTGTTGCAACCAGAGAACCAGGAGATGTAACTACTAACAAATATCGTGCGGCCCTGAATATTCTAAGGGACACAATAGGGTATAATATCCGCTGTTGTCATTATTAGTAAAGTGTATGTATTAAAATATTCGCTCAAGAAAACGATTTACCTCCCACTCTATTGTCACAAGCTGAATTTTTCACAGATGAAAAGTCATGATAAGGTAACCCTCATTCCGGAGGTAATACAAAATTAGACTGTGCAGAAGGACACTATCATCAAAAATCCAGATATTGATACCACCGAATAGAGAAAAAAATACTAATTTTTTGGTCAAATGCACAATAAAATCTTTGTAGGGAGTAATTGTTCATACTTATAAAAAAAAAAATCATTGTTTAAGATGTTCTTACCAGCTAAATATTTGGCTAAGCTCTTTAAACCCAGATGCAGCTTCCTAATGTTTAAGAGTATGGATGGAAAGTAGATCAAGATGGAAGTCTGATAAAATCTTGAAGTAATTAATACACCCTATTGTTCATAGTGGATAAATCAATAATCCCTGTATAAAATAATATAAGAGAGTCAAACTGATTGCATACATTTCAATACTGAGAGAGATGCATAAAGAGTCGAGAGCCTCTGCCTTTAATGTTTGCTTTCTAGTAAAACCATGACATCACTAATTGTTTATTGCTATATTTTTGTTAATTTATAAGCAAAAAAATATAGGAAAGTACTTTTACCTTGTCAATACATAGGCGAAACTTTTATAAAGAATAGTTTTTTTTATTTAGGCCTTCGTTTTTCGTCAAATGAGAGGTATATTTCTAAAAGAAGATTTTTTATACAAATTTGTAAACGGTTGAAACCGAGATAAGGGCTAATGCAAATGATTTTTTTAAAATAATTATAAAAAAATACTTCCTGCAAAGACCTAATTGAGCATTAGAACAAAAAATAAGCATTTTTTTTTTCTATACGGTGGTATCAATAACTCGATTTTTTATGATAATGCCCTTTTGCACAGTCTAATTTTGTATTACCTCCGGAATAAGGGTTAGCTTGTCATGTACTTTCTTCCCTGAAAAACTCAGCTTGTGAAACCGAAGTGGGAGGCAAAGTTAAAATAAGTTTTAATCTACACCATACTATATGTCTATTTCATTATTCTCGTTTTGTTTACAAAATTATTTACATATATTTAAAAAGCTAAAATAATTCATTATATTGAAACTGAACCCAAAAAATTTTGAATATTAGTTATATTATTATTAACTAAATTAGATGTAATTTCACTAAATTAAATGTAATAATTTTCAACAAATTCCAAAACCTAGTGATGTTAGATTGGAAGTGGCAACAGGGCTTACACCGGCATGGAAATTTACGTTATGTAGTATAAGCGCGCGCAGCTATTCATTGATAAAACTACGTAAAATTCTTCTCTCTATTCCTTCACCTTTCGTCGCCTCGCCCCGCGTCTAGAAATAGAATGTATCCATTGCGAACTATTACTGGCACCGTGAATATTATATTTTATCAATGACTGCTTATATCTCTGTTATCTCTGGTTGCAACCAAAAGATATAAATGAATGAGAGCATGTACGTATTAAAAAGAAGGTTCTTCAGATTAAGGGTAAAATGATACAACATTCAGATACACACAAGCAAACGTTATCAACTTTTAATGATAAAATAACCTCAAAAATACATACAATATTACCCCTGGCCAGGTACTTACGTGACAAGTCAACAAAGAACACCAAAACAAACTCAACAATATTCTTAAAACTAATATTAATTGTTAATTTAAATTAAACAAGGTTTTAATTTTACACGAAACAAAAGCGACATAACCAAAAGCAGCATACAAGCCGGTCACCGTCACCCGAAAAGTCCCGATCTCGCACACGCGCACATCCACTCACTTCCAATTCCAAGGTGTAGGCAAACTGCACCTGAGCGCGGTGTAGGGTGGTCTGCACAAGCTGTGTTGATTTTAGAAATACCGCGCCCTGAATGAAATTTATACATTATCCCCTTCTCACTCTCCAATTCACATAAATGTAAAAAAATAGAAAATAAATATTTATGGCCTTCTTATTAGCAAAGCCTGTTATTTTCTTTTCGAATACAATACAACTTTTTTAAAATAGCAACAAAATTATTGAAATTTCAACTCACTCTAAAATTCTTATTTTAAATATGAGAAAGTTATTTTTTCTACCCCCACAAGGATAATAACTTATCTACGCATAGACTACAAAACAAAAAAGTATGCCATTGCGTTCAACCACTTTCAACTTACTTTTTTTATACTTTTTGATACTCGTGCTTTTTTCTTCAGCTACACCTCTTATAGTCTAGGAGCTAGTCTGTAATCCGAGTAACGTATTGAACACAATGCTGAAAATTTGTACATTTATACATTTATAATAAATAAATAATGACTTGTTAGGAATACCATGGTTTAAATTTTTGAATTGGAACACCTTATTTTAAAATTATATACCAGCATATGACGAACATTTTTCATAAAACGTTATTCTATGATTTGGAATTCTTAACAAATTCCATGCTCTGTTTGGTAGTTACGATAATCAGTTTTTTCTAAATTAATTGAATTTTGTTGACATCCATTCATTGAATTTGTTATAGAGAAATATCAATTTGTTTGATAGTTCCTAGAAAGAATTCGTATAAGAAACCACTGACTTATCGTCTTCATACGAAACAGTGTAATCTGCGTTTACGAATGTTGGTAAATCATTTATAAATATAAGAAATATCAATAGCCCCAATACGGATCCCTGCGGAACTCTCATATATTTGTCTACATTACATTTTTTTGAAAAGGTTTATTGATTTTATCATTCTTGGTACAATATGCTTTTACAATACAATATACTTTTATTTTCTAAACTGCCACACGGTCTTGGAAATAATTAATTTCGTCCAGCTAAGTCGTTCTTCGGTAGCATCGTGTATATCGAGAGTCTGTAACAAAACTCAAACTGCCGTAGTACACGCGGCGATATCTGGTGCTGGAAGCATTTACCCAAATATTCGACAAAATAGATTAACATTTTATCGCCAGAGTGATCAATTACTGCGGAAATTATTGAGAGCAGTTTAACGAGCAACGATGTTGTTGCGGCTTTCCTTTTTTTTATATGTATACTTCGTTCTCTCGTTTGTCGGGTTTGGTTTTTATTTTGATGTTATTGCCAATGTTTCTGATATAAAAGATTTATTTTATTACTCTGCTGTTTTTTTTTTTGATTCGAAATAATAAAGTTTGCTACAAAAATTAAAAAAATTGGATGGTAAGCAATTTCGGATTAAGGTAATTTAGGTTAAATCGACACAAACAGCTCTTTTTGGCGGTTTTTTTTTTTGAAGAGAATTTCTGGACACCCTGTAAAACAATCAAATTCTTGATTGAACCACATAGTACATATTAGAGTCGAAAATAATCGATTAATTGAAAATAATCGAATAATTGAAAAATTGAAAATAATCGATTGATAAAAAATTCATGGATTTATTAAAAATAATCGATTTTTTAAATAATCATAAACAATCCATTATTTATTTTGATAATCGCCCGGTCCTATCGATAATTCGATAGTATAAAATGAACATCCGAATACAATAAAAATTGATTAATTTAATTATTTGGAATCAATAAATTTAACGATTAATAAAAAATAATCGATTTTCTATTAATTGTTTAAAAACAACTGATTAATGGGAAATAATCGATTTTCTATTGATTATTTGAAAATACTCGATCTTTCGATTAAGCGAATAATTAAAAATAATCGATCAAACAAAAATAATTGAATAATTAAATAATCGATTAATCAAAAATAATTGAATGATCGAAATTTTCAATTAATCGATTAGTCAAAAATAATCGATTCTTCGAAAATAATCAATTATTTTCAAATAATCAAGTAATAAAAAATAATCGAATATTTTAAATAATTGACATTCTATTATTTGCTTTAATAATCGCCAGCTCTAGTATACATAGAGTAAATAGTGTTAGTTGTATTATGAATCTCCATTTTCAATTTTTGAGACCTTCTGTTTCGATTAGATAGTTATTTTGTTGTTGTATTGTTCGCAGGTCTCAAGTAGGTCGAGCCCATTTCGAGAAACAGCCACCCAGCAATCTGAGGAAATCGAATTTTTTCCACTTCGTCATCGCCCTGTACGATCGTGCCGGACAACCAGTGGAAATCGAGCGGACTGCTTTCATCGGCTTCATCGAAAAGGACCAGGTTCGTACTTCCTGCCAGTATCCATTTTTATTCCATTATCTACGACCCTTTCTCCCTATCCTGCTCGGCCTTTTATGTTCCCATACCAGTAGAAATACTTAAAAAAAGATATATGAGAAAAGACGTAGCTAGATCGGTATATACGATGCTTGGGTCCTATGCTGTGCCACTGACCTATTTATATTAAAAATAATATTTTAATAATTACTTTATTGTCGGACATAAAATTACCTAATCCCAAGAAATAAATAATTTATGGCTCAACAGCTATATGTTGCCCTATAATAAACAAAAAATGTATATTCTAGACACTAAAAACAATGAGAAAACTTCAATTTCTCGGAACAGCACAACGCTATCATCAATTTAGACTATTATAGGAAGGTAAATGGAATAATCAGAAGTGGGATATCACGTGTATGTAATCAGCAGTCGAGTGTCGTGCTACTCGTACGCTAATTACAGAAATTAGTTACAAGCAAAAGGTAAACAACTGATGCACGATGCACACTACGTATGATTAAAGTTTCCTAACCTAATCGACGTTTGTCATCTGTTACTGTTGTTTACATACCGAAGTCTACCGACTTGCGGACGTAGACAAATCGCAAATTAGATAACTAAAGGTGGTGCAACTAAGGGTGATCCATCGTTCCCAGTGATATAAAAAGTTTACTAATATTTTTTTAATTACAAAACAGACTTTAAAATCGTGCCCTTAAAAATTGAGATTTTTTATTTTCTCATAAATCATCAGATCCTGATCAATTGTACATGGAACTAACCCTGAGGTTTCCCTTACTAACAAAAAAAGAATCATAGATATCGGACAAGGTGGTAAAGAATTATCACTTAACATACATGAAAAATGAAGAGTTTGAGGATTTTCTCATGGACCCAATTATTAGATTTTGGCCAAATTAATATGGGACCACCCCTGAAGTACCCACTTTATAAAAGAATCATTGAAATCGGACACAGTGTTAAAGAATTATCGCTGAACATCATAAAAAAAATATTACGACGAATTGAGAACCTCCTCCTTTTTTGAAGTTGGTTAAAAATTTAATAATATAAATAAAAGGCTAGTCTTTGCTGAGTAGTTAGGTAGACTAGGAATATTGGGAATGCTGCAAGTAAAAAGAAGATTCTTCAGAGTTATTCCAAGCTTTCGGAAATGCTTTCTACTTAAATGCAGACGTCTAGGCATAACTACCAATACACAGACTCGTGGAGAGTCAAGACAAAAAAAGACACGTGTTCGAACATTTTTAGATCGTTTAAATTTAAAAGAAAATGTGATATATTATCTACAATGTGTTAGTATAAGTCGACTTTTTTTAATTTTACCCAGTTTTGTCCTTCATTTTAATGGTTTTTACGCTTTACTATGCCACTGTAATCATCGATGTAAACCATTTTCCCAGAAATCTTCCCTGATGATGGAAACAATAAAATTTCCCGAAGCATGGAATAACTCTACAGAGTCTTCTTTAAATTACTATATTCACAATGATCCTAGTCTAATAATAATATAGCAATTTGTTTTCTAGAAACAACTGAGAATGTCTATCAGTTATTCAATTTTAGACTTTTTTCTGGACTTGTCTGACTTAGTCTCCGAAAATACTGAAACCTACTGACTTATTTTATTTAATCCACATTGATTCATAGTACCCACTCTGTCATCTAAGTCCTTACAAGTTTTATAGGTTCTTGGATCAACTTGTAATTGTCTAAAAAGTGTCTGTATTTAGCAATCCAATGTTTTTCAGTGGTACAGTATCTGTATGGCTATTTCCGGTTCTTTGTCCATTATACACACCTATTTTGTTCAGATGTGCTCTTATGAGTACTCTTATTATTTTCAACTGGTTCTTTATTCAAAGAGAGTTCTCCTGTTCTCTTTGACCATAGTCTTTTTATAAAGGTTTTCACATATTTTTGTTTTGGGAAATTCTCTCAGTAGTTGTGTTTTCTTCAAACCCAGTCATTTATGAAACTTCGAACTATACTTTTTGGTATTCCACGGTTTGTATTTGGTTCCGGTACTTTTTCTGACCCTCTCTTTGCAAGTTTGTCAGCATTTTCATATCCTTTGATTCCTAGATGATCTAGCACCCAAACTAGTTTTACTCGATAAAGACTGGCTATCTGATATTTGCATAAATATTAGCCTGAAACATTGAAGCGTGTCTCCTTATTACATAGCTAATGTTTTTGAACAATACTCTAGCCCCAGAACATTCCTTAGTCTTTGATCCATCTATGTATTAGACTTGTTTCTGTCATTGGGCACTGAGTTACGTTTTGTTTGGTAATAATACCTCAAATGGAATGGTGAAGTAGCAACGTTGTTTTTTTATGTGATCTGTTCTTATGTCTAAAGGTACATTTACATCTGACATTTATTGCATGAGATTTATGTCTGACAGTTGTTTAGTCCAGTGTAAACACACAAAAATTTCTCTCGGACATATATTTTTGAGTGTTTACTAAACAACTGTCATACATAAATAGCATGCAATAAATGTCAGATGTAAACGTACCTTAACACGTCTCCTGTCACTAATCTTGTAATACTTATGTGACTTGGTCTAATGTTAAGATTTATCCAGGTGTTCTCTAATCTGTAAGTAACTAATCTTGCCTCCCCCCTATATCACAAAGCTATTAGTGCTTCTATTGCTGCTGTGGAGGTTATTTTCATTGTTCCTGTTATTCCATGACAGGCGAGTCTTTGTTTCTTGCTTAGTCTCGATATTGCGTATATTATTATCAATCTTATCACCATACCTGGTTTCAGTTATCATTTTTTTTTATGGACCGTCTTGCCATCCTAGTGATGATTTCGCTTTTTCTGTTGCTTTTCCCAAATGTTGATTCCAGGTAAGTTTGAAGTCAATTGAAACCCTGAAATACTTGACCTCTCCCTTTAGTGAGACGTTTTAGACTTAATTGAAAAATTAGCAAAACTGGTGTTTTTGCCAAATCAGTCTTCTAAGTGGATTCCTAATAATTTTGCATCTTCAGTCTGCTAAATTGAGGATGTTCAGTCGTACTGGTGGACATGCTTATAGACCGCCAGATAATGACAAGTTTAGGTGCCCCATTCTCGCATACAAGTTTTGAAGAGGGTTGAAAAGTACATCGATTTTCAGTAGAATAAAAGAAAATTACGAATGACTCCTAGGGATAACATGGAAAATTCAATGTTTCTTAACAGAAATTAGAAGGTATTTGTATTTTGTGTTTTCACGCAAGTCGTGTTCACTAAATGATTAACGAATATAACTAGGCTTTGGAAAACCAAAGGCTTTAATGTTGCAAGTGGCTAAAGGGTTGAAAACGTACATCCTTATTGGGTTGAATGACCCGAATTCCTACTTGTAGATTTATTTTTATTCTACTCAACATCGATGTAATTTTCAACCCTTTTCCAGGGCTGTATTCTAAAATGGCGCACCAAAATCACTCACTATGTGATGGTCTATTAGTATAAAGGTGGATAGATTTTGCTTCGTTCGCTTTAATATGTTACCTTGTATTTTCTTATGACAGATTTGTAGTTGTCTTGACGCCTTTTTTTTGGATCATCATAAGAGGAACTAGCAGATATAGCATCTGCTTAAGTGTCTATTGTAACTATTGGAACATTGCTTGTATACAGGAGGTACTAAAATTGGTTCAGTTACGTCATCCTATAAAAATCCTGATTTATTGGAATTTAGGGACTAATATTTATGGTTTTCTTTGACCAGAAATTTTCTTTTGGGTAAGTAGGAGTTGAGGAGAAAAAATGTTGATATGGAAGTAGCTTTTTTATTTTGTAGACTTTTGTACAGTATGGCACACTTTGTTGAACACTTGTATAATATCAATAAAGGCTGCAGAACAAAACCAATTCATCATGAATCTTGTGAACTGTTGGATGGACTTGCTCTATGATGCTATGTTGTGGGATACAAAGTGGTGTTTACTTAAAAACCCATAAGAGTCTTAAGAGGATAAGAGTACCATAGTGTATCAAATGTCTCCAATGGTTTGTAAAATGTGTTTTTTTTTATGCAGCAACACATTTAGAAATCTCAATTTTATAATCAAAAACTTATTTTATATCTCCACTGTTCTGAGAACCTAAAAAGTCGATGTGGCACAATACCCATATTTCATGTTAAACATTCCATCATAAAGAATTCTAACTGGTACATAATGGTACCAAACTATATATCTAGCGGTATGGCTCGAATCCAACTTAAGGATCCAGCAATCCTCCTCTTCACATATTGTAAACAAGGAGTCGTCAGATATCTCTAAGAGGTGTAGGTGTCTCCTAAGGCTGCAGTGTCCCGTGAAGAATTCTATTACAGTCTTTAGTTCGTTCTTGCTAAGGTTTAGCAGTTGACTTTGTCTGCTCTTGGATAGAATCTCTATGAATATTTTGAACCGGCTGAATCTAGGAAGTTCAAACCAGATCTTGTGATATTTTCTATCTATCTGTTTCATTAGTATTCCTTTAACATGCTAATAAGAAATTCCACATGTAAGTTCTGGTCCAATCAGAATTTTCACCTATTCAATAGTGTCCTTGTTATATTCTGCCATGACCTGGAGGGATTGTTGTCAGTCCAATATTAATATGGATTGTTTTTGTATCCTGTTCAGTACTTTAAGGGCTGTCTGGCTGTAATAAAAAAGATCCTTTTATCTCTAAAATGGATAATAATTTTTTTTATCTAAGTAAAGTAATGTTAGATTTTCCTCTTTAATCACTAGCCTTTTTCTGTATAACCAATGCACTTGCTTTCCATATTAGAAATTTAGTATTATCTTTGTATTTAGTCATAAATTGACATGTGAATTTTCCTCGAATGGATCCATGTTGATTTTTGCTAAGTGATAGTTGGTAAAAAAATCTGTTACTCTAAAGCTATAGGATTTTATTGCTGTTACTTCAGCCTGGAACACTCTTGCTAGTGACCCTAGGTTTAAACTAATGATGCTTCCTGAGTTTGCATTCTAATATTAATATATGATGTATTTTCTTAAAATTTTTTAACCAAATCGATTTCTAAACAGCCTGTATAATGCCTTTACCACAAGGTGTAATGAAGAAAGACCTAGTAGTAGCTCCATTACTGCTGTTGGCATATTTCTAAAGGCCTTTGTTACTATTAGAAAGGCCAATCTTGGTACCCTATATAATTTTCTGCTACCTGTTATGCCGCCAATAGTATCCAAAGGATTAAATATACAAGCATTACTTTAGCGTCAAATTTAAGGTAAAATAGGTTCAGTAAACAAACTTTATTAGCTATCTTCATCGTCGTTCATACATCTATCCATCCATCCACACGAAGTTCATGAATAACATCGTACGAACATTCCGACTTCAAAGAATGCGAGGAGACTTCAAAGTCTCGCGCGCGAATGACGGAAATGGAGGAACATAATTTCCATGAAAAGATACAACTTTAAAATGGACCCGAGCGGCAAGCGGCGTCGTTTAAGTTTGCAATGCGTTGCTATGGTAGCATCGCGGCGGCATTTACCAAAGTGCACAATGTACGGAAAGTGAGATGAATAAATACTCGCTGCTCGGCGGCAAGCCTCGTGGAGAAGAGAGCAGGGTATGCTGCAAGAACATAGACGTGCCTAATTACCGTTCTTAAAATAATATTAAAAACATTCTAAACAATGTAGGAGGTTTTGTCGCCTCCGAGAAACATTAGGGCGCCATATTATTTAATATTTTATCTTTTAATTTCGATCCAATCTACTTCTCTTGCTTCATTTGGTCTCTACTCAGAATTGATGTACTTATTTCTGATAGATAAAACAGTAACTGACCAATTATTTTCCTATATTTTTCTTTAATTAAAAGAAATTTGTCAGTTTACTCCACAACATTTCGATATGGCGTCAAAGGAGATTTGTTAGGACCAGATGGAGATATACAATATTCTAGAGGTCAAAATATCCTTTACTTAGATTTATTCAAGTAAAATTGTCAGGTTTTTTTTTGTTATTTTTAAAATAAATAATTTCCGGGTGCTGTAATACAATAAAATAGGGATTTATACTTGATTAAGTATCCGCAGATATGAAAAAAATAAGTATTTAATAGGTGTATTGACTGCTTCCACACTTTTAGGAACCCTTAGCAAAAAAACAGATATTAGAATAAACGTCAGCGGTTGACAGCACCCCAAATAATTAGCGATGGGACTCTAGAGATGGGAGAAAAATAACAATATCAGATATACCCATACAAGGACTTACTTATTAAACCCAATGCTTAAATTAAATCTACGCCTAAAATCTTATATAATGCCTGAGTAATAATTATATTTATACATTTTATAGTCTTTCTTGACAGTACAAGTAGCATCAATGTGAGGCATAAATGATAATTTTAACCAAAGATGACTCTTAAATCAACAAAAGTATCTAGATGATGAAGATTAATTCTGTTGATTTGTTAGTTAAATAATATCTATATTAGATTCTATAGAAAAAGATCATCATAAAACACTTAGAAATATTAAAACTTAGTTTGTTTATTTCACAAATGTTTCCAAGACGCAATAAATTTTGATATAAATGTATATAGTTCGTAAGATCGGAAATTGTGGAGAAAATCTTAAAACTATTAGCACAGATCCTTGGGAAACATCAGAAGTTGTAGGGTCTTTGTGAATTACTTGCTTTTTCTTCTCATTTTCACCTTTACAGCAAGGGACAACGACTTGACCCTTGAGAGACTCCATAAGTTGCAGGGTATTTGTTAATTACTTCTAGCTTTCTTACTTTAGCTTTCTCTAACAAGCACACTAGTACTACTGTTCGCCAATAGAGCAGCAAGAACCCATGATCACATTGCTGGGGAAGGGGTACGCTAGATAGCGCCATCTGTTAGTGGTTAAAATTGAAACTTCAATAAGTGGTTTACGATTAGTAATCTTAGATGGCGGCCATCATTGAAGGAACAAGTATAGATTAACGAATAATATACGAGGTAAACAAAAAAAAAGTTGAAAGTTAATATTTCCGCTATTATTGCTTCGACTTGCTTGGGTCAAACGGTACTGTAAAGAAAATGTGACATAGATTACGGTTAAAAAATGCATTAACGAATATATTTGCTATTATTGGTCCGATTCAAATAAAACAAACGACACTATAAAGGAGACGTGATGACTTCTGGCCACTGACGTGGCGCCATCTATCGTACCCCTTCATTGTGGTTATGGCCCCCTTGTTGCTCTACTTTCACTATGTATTTTTATTTTCCCCATTCCTTATTTGCCAGTTTCCTTCCCCATTAGTTTGTTTGTAATGACTTGATCTCAATTTTAAAACGTTTACCAAAAATTTACAAAACGTTGTTATTTAACCCCATTAAAGACCACACAACTAACAGTCCCCTAGAAGCCCCTTAAGAAGTATGTTGTTAATAACTTTGGGTCTTCTATAAGCTAGAACTAGATCTTATTCATCTTTGAAATAAACAATTTGATCTACTTTGACTTCTTCGATGAAATTGATAGTCCTGTTGATAAAATCTGCTACAGCAAAGCATCATATCTACTTAGGTTATTAGTTTGGCATACAAAAAATTAAAAATTAAAATTTTTCAAATTTCAACGTCTTTTGAAAATTGACACACCCTCTGAACCTTTGTTAATGTTTGTGAGTGAATTTTGTATAACTGGTAGACTCCATTAGAGACTGAAGTCAAAATTGTCTGTCTTGTTGATAGGTCCTAGTAAGGACGAAACCGATCCAAGAACGACTTTCTCTTCAGGAAGCACAATCCAAGTAAGCGTGTTAAAAATGATATTCTATATCTGCTATTTACCTTTTATTATCATGCAATGCCTGTTGTGATATTAGCCAAAAAAGAGAAGGTTTCTCGTTGTTTCTGTAACACGTATTTTGAGTATTTCTCTTTTTCTAAGATGTTAGAAAGGGTAGCGGTAACATAAAACTCTATGAGAGAAGTATAAAAATGTTTTGTGCCGGCAATTAATTTTCTGAGAGTGGCATTTAAGTGCCGCTACTGATTGGGGGAGCACATAAAGGGCAGCGCAAGGGGAGTAATCGTGTTGGTGGTGGCGTTGCAGAAGATTAGGGCGCTTTTCGGGCATCGCATTTATCATGTAACCTGAAACCAGAGTTGAGCTCCACCGGTCACAACAAAAGCCATTATCAGGTGTTGCCTCCGACTCCAATTTCTCCATTTTCCTCAACCTAAAAAAAATAACTAAATTATTTTATAAACGTGGATAAAGTATAATATAATACTAATTATTATTTTATTCTTTTTTCTAACTAAACATTTCCTTTCCCATTTCTTATCAATAGTATCAAAGTAAATGGAAAATATAACTTTCCCGCACTATTTTAAGTAATTTTCCAAAAGTTTAATTTTTTCTTTTTTTCAGGAAGCTGATGGTCAAAAAACCAACAATGGAATCCAATATCGTCTACAACTCCTTTTTGCCAATGGTAAGTTAGTTTTTTCTTAAAATTCAAACTAATTTTGAAGTTATTATCATACGATGAAAACACCCATAATAAATAAAATAAAAAAAATATCAACTACGATCCTATACTTTTTACTGCTTTAAAATTTTTTGTAATTAGAACTACATTAAAGGCATGAGAGGTCCTTTGAAATAAGCAAGATATTTTGGAGTATATTTTGTAACTACGATTATCTGGCAACTTTCTAACACTTTGCTATTTTACCACTTTTATACCAATTATAACAACTTTGACAAAAGTGTCTCTATTATAGTATTTATGGCTCCTATGAAAATAATATAATTTGTATGTGTGGTGTAAATCAGGCTTTTAACAACTTAAACTTCAACTCCATATCCAGGACGTCAAGTTAAATTAAATTTATCATTTTGAGACTTTTTACAGTTTGTTGGTGGACTGGCTTGAAATTAAAAAAAAAAATCATGTATAGGGTGATTTCGCGCGGGAATATTCATCATGAATGGTTGTTTCATCTCAATTTTTTCCCAAATCTCTAATTAAATAGATAAATCAATGTTTTCTTGTAAACATAGATACCATTATTAATTAGTTCTACGTAAATAATATAGAACATTCCGATGTCTTGTTAATAAAATCATCACTGCTAGCACTGAAACTAAAAGTCCGGTAGTTTCGGAAAGAAATATCATAAAATATTTGTTTCATTTGTATTGTCAAATTAGGCGAGATGTATAGCATTTTTCATAACCCCAAACTTGCAGGGTTTGGCTCGGATGGGGCTCATGTAATTAGAAAAGTTAAGAGAGCCGAGTTCGACAACACACAGCCCTTCGTGATAAACCCCTGTTAGACCCCGGACACTATCTCGACTTTAACCAAGTCCGAAACAAGGAGAAGCCGCAGAGGTCGGCGCAAGGAACTTGGAGAACCGCAAATTCTTCAAGTTTCCACCGCCTCCTTATCTATCCGAAGGCCCGATCCTGCGGTTTTGGTCATCTCGTTCATCATGAGTCGCCTCAGCGGAATCCTTCTGGATAGTACAGCGCGTGTTGTTAAATATTTAATGCGGTAGTTATCTTTAAAAAAAAAAAGATAGTTGACAGTTGGTTAAAATTATTTTATAAATAATAAAAAAATGGTACTATGTATAAAATCAATATCCTTTCATATACAGGGTAGACTGGATTTAATTTGCGGATGCCATACTATCAAGTAAATTGAGAAAAATTTCCTATTTCGACGGACAGTTCAATGGTACATAAATGTTCCAGATCTACCAGCCAGTTCTGGAGATATTGGACAAAATCTGAAAAAAAACTCATTTTTTAAATATATCGTTGTTTTTATAAAATATATGAAAGAGTTAAAAAATGAAATAAATTTATAATAACCTACCATACCAAAATTTTCAATTCTACGTTTCGTAATTCCAGGATCATCTCAAGTATATTTTTATATACGAATCTGTATTTTTAACCAAAAATTTTGATACCTTTTGTACAACTAAATACAACGATATACTTGACCTGTTTACTACGTTTGGAAATTTAAAAACTATATTCTACTAATAATATTCTACATCTAATAACAGAAACGTATCCGTATCTAAGGTGGTGGAGAGGATAGGTTGCTCTCCACTGTACTTAAGCCTCATAAGGTTCATTGTGCGTCTTCCAGATAAAATCTCCCTCTCAACTTATCGAAACCTGCTGGTTGCCGCTAAGAGATATTTAAGGACAGCCATCTGCCCAGCAAAATCATACTAACTGTCGTTGGGGGTGTCTAGGTGCCCCATTTTTAGGAGCTGTCCATTTGGTGGGCTTCTACCAACCCGATGGTAAATCCTCTGGTAAAGCCATTTGTTACGTCCGCTCCACAGTGCAAAACGTAATAAAAATATAATCCAAAAACAGTCATACAAGTTGCTCAAAATATTGTGATGTTTGTTTATTTTAAATAACAGTTTATTTATTAATAATTGATTTAAACACTTATTTATTTTAAAACACTATTAATATAATTTATATATATTTCGAATGTCTTTAAACTGTTCGCTATTTATCTTCACTGTCCATATAATAACTGATACAGCGTTATTCTCCACCAATATTTATATACCAATTTAAAATTATGGTACAGGTTCCAGAAGCTTCTCCGCCAAACTGTTATATTTGAAATAGACTAGAAATATTATCCCGTTGACTCAAGAATGTTCGCGAAAGTGTATCCACCATAGTCGTCACATAGGTTTGGTCTTAAGGGGTTTAATTATGTATAATAGTCGGACAAGTTGAGCCTCAAAGGCCAAATAAGACACAGAGGGACTTGGAGGGTTAGAGCATGACTGAATAATGAAATGGCTCACATTCCATTCTGTTGAATAGAGAACTTAATTCTCCTAGACATTTGGGAAGTAGTTTTATCTACCATTTCTTGTGTTATGTTTTCAAGTGCATCTACTACTCGTTGACGAAGTTCTTTTACCTAATTCAACATATTTTTGTAATTTTTTTTTGGGCTCGTCTAACTTACTCTCCAATAACACTGAAACCTAATGGGTGTATTATATAAGTTCTTGGACCAACCTGTGGTTGTCCAAAAAGTTTTTTTTTTATAATCCAATAACTCTCAGATAATATATCCGTCAGTTAGTTATCTAGAAGTTTATCTGAAGGTGAAAAGACCGACCCTGAATTAAATATTATATTATTGTAAAGGTGCTTTCATCAATCCATAATATTTTGTTGAAAGAACCATTTTCTGTGGTGTTTGTGCTTCTTTAAATTTCTATTAACCGTGGAGGGTTCTACTCTAATATTGTTTACCTATTCGTCTAGTAGAATGTTCAGGTCTAATTATGATTTTGGACAAGAACATTAATTTCTTTTAGAATTTGATATGTAGTCCTCCTTTTTTACACTGATACATTCCGTCATATTTTTAAAATAAAGGAACGAAATTAAAAAAGTAACCAAATTACGAACAAAAGACAAAATGTAGAAATTATCTTTTAAAATAAGAAACAGCAGACTTTGAATAGAGCAGCAGGAAGGGGAGAACCAGGCAGGAAAGCAGTAAGTAGTAAGTGATGAAGCACAACCAGAGAGAGTATTTGGAAGAGGCCATCATTTCTTTATTTTTGAATCTTTAATTGATTTTGTGAAATTTGAACCTGCCTTCAGTTGGAGTATTTCTTTTTTTTTAATAACACAATTGTAAATAATATTCTCATAGGCCGTGGTAATGACATCGCATTATTTTGCTATATCTATTTTACTCGGAAATTATTACATTTACATAATTGTTGTATATACACTCACCGGCACGAAAAACGGAGCAGTTGAATTTTTTTAAACTAACTTAAAATTTTAATGCTTTGTGATGTTTTATTATTATAATATCTTAAACATAAACAAAACAACGTGTTTTAAGCATTTTCTAACAATAATTGAACCTTTATTTGAAGAAAAAAAGCGTTTTTGAATAAAAATCAAAAATTGAACGGACTTATCACTTCAAAATGCATAGTTGGCTATGAAACCATGACCAACAATGCTGTTGTTTTCAATGTTTTGAGAAATTTGACAGATCGAAACACGTTTTAAAGTTGTGCTGCGTTTATTTCACGTACAAAATTATGGCTGTTAATCCCGAAATAGCGGCTGCTATTGTTGCGTTGCTTTAAGACGAAAGAAGAGAGCGATATGTTGCCCAACAGTATCACATATCCAATAGCACTGTGCACCGTATTTTTACACGTTTTTTGGAAACTGGAGCTTACACCAGACGACTTGGAACTGATCCCCAACGAAGAACTAGCGCTCATGATGATCGCTTTATCATCTTACAAAGTCTGCGAAATCGTCATGCTACGGCTGTTGAAATCAGAAATCGACTTCATCACGTCCGGCAAACCAACATAAGCGAACGGACAGTTAGACGAAGACTCGGAGAAGCCAATCTTACCAGTCGTAGGCCTGCAACAGGCCCAGAGCTTCTTAGGCGTCATCGTATTGCGCAATTTCAGTTTACCAGAAATCATGAGCACTGGGGTGAAAATGAATGGGGGCGCGTTTTGTTTACGGATGAGTCCAGATTTAGCCTGCGGTCTCCAGATGGTCGTGAGAGAGTATGGCGAAGACCACAAGAGCGTTTCGCAGAATGTACCTTCAGTCCTAGGGTACGCTACCAAGGAGGCTCAGTTATGGTGTGGGCCGGAATTTCTATGGAGACACACACAGAATTGTACATCCTTCCGAGAGGCTCCTTAACTGCTGCCAGGTACATTGATGAAATTCTCCAAGATTTTGTTGTCCCTTATGTTGACTTTATTGGAAATGACTTTCTTCTAATGCATGATAATGCCAGACCTCACATCGTGAGAATCACTCAACAGTACTTAAACGATGTAAACATTCCTGTTATGGAGTGACCAGCGTTAAGCCCGGATGCGAACCCAATTGAACATGTTTGGGACATGCTTGGGCGAAGGATGCGAAGTCGTGTTCCTGCTCCTTTAACTTTAAATCAGTTGCAACAAGCTCTTTTAGAGGAATGGGAACATATTCCTCAAGAGGACATTCGCCACTTAATTTTAGGCATGCCAAGGAGGATGCAGGCTATTATTCGAGCACGTGGGAGCAACACACTTTATAAAAAATGCGGCTCCCCAGTTTATGCTAGCAAGTCGTTTCAGTTTTGATTAATTTAAGGTCATTTAGCAACAACACCAATTTGTGCTTTTTCGTCTTCGTTTTTTAAATTGCTACAAAACCCTTTTTTTCTTAAAATAAAGGTTTAATTATTGTTAGAAAATACTTAAAACATGTTGTTTTGTTTATGTTTAAGATATTATAATAATAAAACATCACAAAGCATTAAAATTTTAAGTTTGTTTAAAAAAATTCAACTGCTCCGTTTTTCGTGCCGGTTGGTGTAGTTATACTTTCTGTGACTGTATAATGCAAAATTTAACGCAGGACCATTTTTTACCCCTTTAT